TCGGAAGCTTACTATAGGAAATTCTAGAGAGTCTCAACGTACTAGTTTAGCAAGGCATGAGGATTTTATAAAAATGGTCAGTCGAACCATCAATAAAGCTGTACAAAATGATTGAACTTGTCAGTGGTTAATGAGAATTTCTACTTGAATTTCTACATTCACTTACAGGTTTGAAATTGGGATTTTACCCCGAAGGTGTTGCATCATATTAGGCCGACTCTTGGTACAAAAAGGGCTCTTTCATAGGACATGCATCCGAATTATTTAAATATCTACTAACTCATTTTTTTCCTTTTTCTTGAATAAATTACAACAATTTGACAGAAAATTCACTTCTAAATCAGTTTCTTTTCTCCACTATCAGGTATTTTTTCACAATAGTTACCCAAAGAAGCCCCATCATTACCAGGTCCCGAAGTAGAGTCTTGAGACAGTCTATAAACATGAGTTCAGTACCAGAAACTTCGGAAAGATCTGCTATAATAACGTCGCCGGATTTCACAGCATTGGGAGCTCAGTTAAGTGAGGTACTTGGCAAGTTCAATGAATTAAGTGCTGAAATGACCGCACAAAGGCGTGTAATTGATCAGTTGGTCGCAAGCAACAGTGGTGGTGGTGTCCCCAACGACCAAGAACCTATCGATAATCACCCACCTGCACAAGACTATCAACCACCCCACACATCCAATACTCAAATACCTTTCTCTCCTCCTTTCGCTAATCCGCTTGAAAATACCTTTACCCGACTAAATTCAGACTTTTCCTATATGCATCCAAATTATGTATTGGTGAACCCAACCAGTAGTCAAATCCCTCAAACCCATCCACAAATCAATCTGAACGTTCCCCCCAACCCTCAGGGACCGCACCACCACCTTACAGAGCCTTTTCTACTGGATACTGCATCTCAAGGGAAGGCGGCGATGGAAGAACAACGTACACCCATTGATAAAGATCTGTTAAAAAGGTTGGATCGATTCGATGACTTTATAAAAAAGAATCAAGGGTTGAGCAGGCATGGTGGTTTGGACTACGATGAATTGTGTCTTTTCCCAAATATTCAGCTACCGTTGGGATTCAAAACCCCTAAATTCAGCAAGTATGATGAACTAAAAATCCTAAAACGCATCTCAAGATGTTTGCCAACAAGTTAGGTAAACCCGTGGATGATGAGAATTTACCTATGCGTCTATTTTAGAAAAGTTTGGAGAGAGATGCTTTAGATTGGTATTCAAATTTGAAGTCTGAAGAGGTCAAAATCTGGTTGGATTTGTCAACAACCTTTGTGAAGCAATATGAGTTTAATTGTGAATTGGCACCAACACGAACCATACTGGAGGGTACGAAAAGAAAGCCGTCGGAAGATCACAAGACTTACGCAAAACGGTGGAGAAAGTTAGCTGCCAAAGTGGAGCCTCCTATGACTGAGGAGGAGATTGTTCGTACTTTCATCAAGACTCACGATCCATCCTATTTTGAAGAGATCTTCCACATGACGGGAAGTTCATTTGCTGCTATCATTAACAAATTGGAGGAGTATGATGAATTTATCAAAGCGGGGAAGATTGTTAATGTGTCTGCATTAAAGTTGCAATTGGATGCTCTACAAAATCAAAACAGCAATGGGAAAAAGCCCCAATTCAAGAAGAAAGAAGGTGATACTGCTTTTATATGGGATCAGGGCCCGTCTTTCAGACCTAGAAACCATCCCACCTATTCTTTCCCTTACCCGTATTACACCAATCCTCAACCAGTCTACCACACTACTACCCAATTCTATCATTCCCGACCAAATCATTTGAATACCTCGCCCTTACATCCAACTTCACAACCTGTCTTTCAAAATCACTCTCGTCCCATTTATCATTCCAGACCAACCCTGCAAAACAATAACCCTTCTCAAAATCCTTTGCAAACCAGTGAAATTCAAATTCAGAAGCAATTTCAAACCTTCACCAACTTGGGCTGACCTATTGATCAGTTGTATGAGCAATTAAAAGCAGTTGGAAAAATTGGCACTGTTCCTCCCAAAATCTATCCCAGAGGTCCTCCTGCCGATTATGATCCGCATGCAATCTGTGCTTATCATTCTGGAAGTCCAGGTCATATCACTGGCAATTGTTGGGGTTTAAAACATAAGATTCAGGACATGATTGACTCTGGAGACATTCTTCTCAGAAGAAAGGGAGAGCAGGGACCGAATGTTAGTAAGAATCATTTACCTAAGCATGGGAACACTGTTGGAGTTATCATCGCTGATGAAGATTTTATCGATCCCACACAGTACATTTTAGATGAAATTGAAGTGTTTGGCATGATGGAGGCTGACCATGCGAGAATGAGAAAACTGTCGCCTGTTGAAAAGTCCATGACTAAGGATAATGTCGAGAAAAATTTGAAATCTTTTGTGGAGCCATTTATAATAGAAGGAGGGCCTTCCGAGGTTGACAAAGTTCCTTTTATTCTGGATCTACCATATTTTGAATAGGATATATCAGAGTCTGTTATTCTCGAATTTTCGGAACAAATGCCTGTCAATAACTTGCAAGAGGTACCATGAAATTACGAGGAACCTAGTCTATTAATTGGAGATAAAAAATGCTTGAAGAAGGAGGTATCTACTGTTGTCAGGTCTGAAAAAACTGCGAAAAACTCCGAAATCGGCGTTCAATTCAGAGCCAAGGTTAAATCCCTGAAGCCCAAGTCTCTTGTGTCTGAAAAGGAAGCTGTGGATTTTCTAAAGATGCTAAAGAGAAGCGAGTACAAAACAGTGGAGCAGTTGAATGGGATGCCTGCTCAGATCTCTTTTTTGAATCTTCTCTTGACCTCCGAATTACACAGAGAAGCATTGCTCAAAATCTTGAACGAAGCCCAAGTCCCTAAAGATATTCCAGTGGATAAATTTTCTAACATTGTGGGGAATGTACTTGCTGCTAATCATATTGCCTTCTCCGATGATGATCTGACTGCAGAAGGGATCGGGCATAACAGAGTTTTGTATATATCAATCCGTTGCAATGGAAAGCTGTTGCCGAGGGTTTTAGTGGATAATGGGTCAGCGTTGAATATCTGTACATGGAACACTCTCACCAAGCTTGGATTTCTTGATATTAAACTCCATCCATCTGCAACTGTGGTTCGAGGATTTGATGGTTCAAGGAGGGAATCTATGGGTAAAACAGATCTGGTATCGGAGATAGGTCCTGCTCAATTCCAAGTTACTTGCCAAGTCATGGATTTCTCCAGCGTTTACAATATTTTACTTGGAAGACCTTGGATACATGCTTCCAATTCAGTGTCATCTTCTCTGCATCAAATATTGAGGTTTATTGCGAATGATCAACTCATTATTGTGTTTGCTGAGGATGACTGTACCATGATCGTTGGTGCAAAGTTTAATGGTGAAAATAGAAAAAGAACTCCAATTTCGTCTCATCACGTTGCTGACATCGTCTCTGTGGGATGGGCATCCAAGGATAAGTCGCTGACTCAATCAGATTTGCCAGAGGCAGTATTATGATGGCGAGAGAGATGATCCGAGGCGGATATGAAATAGGAAGAGGTCTTGGGCGAGAATTGCAAGGAATTTTGGAGCCGATAGAGATCCCAACGCAAAAGGATACATTTGGACTGGGATTTCATCCAACTGCTAAGGAAAGAAAGGAAATGCAAGCTCGAAAACAAGCTGAAAAGAAGGGCAAGCAAACTGCCTTAAATATCCCTCCGCTATATCACACTTTTCCTCGTCCATCAGAGGTGATTATGCCAGAAACGAAGAATCCTATGGAGGAGATTGAAGTGGATCTGTCTCAGCTATTTGTCGGGGCTACTTATGAGGAGGGGCCATCAGAGAATGCAGAATTTTTGCCAATTACCGAAAGAGCTATTCAGAATTAGACTACTGATTACTTTCCCTCTCGAAGGGAATTTCGGTAAATTTAAGGGGATTGTCTTTTGTCTAGATCATATCCAGATAGGACAGTAGTCTGGATCTTTTGTTAAAAGAAATTGCTTTCATCTTTTAAACCTTTATTCTTGTTTCAGTTAATATAATTTGCTTTGTTTAAGAAAATTGCTGAAACGAAAATAAAGATTTGGGTTAAATATGTCTTTAAATAGCAATCATATCTGTATATTTATCTTTTTGTGAAGTCTCGATGCATTTTGAATTTAATGAAATAAAAGATTTCTCCAGTATTTGCTATTTATTTATTACTTATGTGCTATTCTATTTTCAGATGGCCACAAATAAAATCCTTTGACCCTTTGGATGTCACTATTTTGGAATTCGATGGATGCAATCTCGATATCTCTCATGAACTTGAAATCATGCAATCTGAAATTCAAAGCGAGAGCGATACTGAGGAAGAATTTGAGTCTATTTCAAGGGATTTAAAACACTATGAAGAGAAATCCAAACCCAACTTAGAAGAAACAGAAATCGTCAATATTGGCACTAAGACGGAGGTTAAAGAAGATAAAGTCAGCATTCATTTGAATAAGAAACAGAAGGAGGAAATGATTGAATTCTTAATACTTTTTCAAGATGTGTGTGCATGGTCATACGATGATATGCCAGAGATCTCTACAGATATAGTGGTTCACAGGTTGCCAACACACCCAAATTTTTTACTTGTAAAGCAGAAGTCACGTAAATTCAAACCAGAAATGAGTCTCAAAATAAAGGAGCAAATTATGAAACAGCTCAATGCTAAGATAATCATGGTGTTTCATTATCCCATCAGGCTATCCAATCCTGTGCCAGTGCCTAAGAAATCTGGGGAGGTGCGAGTATGTGTTGATTACAGAGATCTGAATAAGGCCAGTCCGAAAGACGATTTTCCTTTGCCAAACATTCATATTTTTTTGGACAATACTGCTGGACATGAAATTGAATCTTTTGGTGATTGTTTTGCTGGGTATCATCAATCTTAATGGCAGAAGAAGACAGAGAAAAAATCTCTTTTATCATCCCGTGGGGAATCTTTTGTTATAAAGTGATGCCTTTCGGGTTGAAGAATGCTGGAGCCACTTATAAGAGGACCATGACTACCCTGTTCCAAGACATGATTCACAAAGAGATGAAAGTCTATGTGGATGATATCATAATTAAATCCAAGAAGGTTGAGGACCATTTGGTTGATTTAAAGAAATTGTTTGAAAGATTGAGGATGTATAATTTGAAGTTGAACCCCGCGAAATGTGCTTTTGGAGCTCCGGCTGGTAATTTATTGGATTTTATTGTCAGCAAAAAGGGTATAGAGATAGATCCTGCTAAAATAAAAGCAATTCGAGATATGCCCATTCCAAAAAGTCAAAAAGATGTGAAGAGTTTTCTTGGAAAGATCAATTTCATTGGCCGATTCATTGCACAGTTAACTTCTACCTTTGAGCATTTATTCAAACTGTTGAAAAAGAATGCGCCGATGGAGTGGAATGAAAAGTGTCAGCAAGCTTTTGATAAGATCAAAAATTATTTGTTAAATCCTCCGGTCTTAGTGCCACCTCAGCCAGGGAGACCTTTGATTATGTATTTGTCTGTTCTTGATGAGGCTGTGGAACAGCATGACGAGTCTAGGAGAAAGGAGCAAGTCATCTACTATCTGAGCAAGAAATTTACAGCATATGAAGCCAACTATTCTTTCCTTGAGATAAGTTGTTGTACTTTAGCATGGGCAGCTCAGAAGTTGAAACATTATTTGCTCGGTTATACTACTTACTTGATTTCCCATTCTGATCCTTTAAAATACCTACTGGAAAAGTCGATGCCCACGGGACGTATGGCTAAGTGGCAAATGATCCTTTCCGAGTTCGACATTGTCTTCACAACACAAAAGACAGTCAAGGGTCAAGTTATAGCAGATCATTTGGCAGAAAATCCAAGAGATGATGATTACCAACCATTGCATACCTACTTTCCTGATGAAGAAATTCTGTTCGTTGGAGCAGTTGAAAATATGAGTACGCAGTATCCTGGATGGAGGTTATTTTTTAACGGTGCGGCAAATTCTTTTGGAACTGGAATTGGAGCAATTTTAGTGTCGCCTGAAGGGAAACATTATCCTGCTACCGCCAAATTACAGTTTCCTTGTACCAACAACATGGTTGAGTATGAAGCTTGTATTTTTGGATTGAAAATGGCATTGGACATGGAGATCAAGGACCTGATAGCATTCAGTGATTCTGATTTACTTATGCACCAGACGCTTAAGCAGTGGGTAACTCGGGATTCAAAAATTATGTTGTAACATTGTAACTTGCTTAGTTTGGCAAGCAAATTCAGGAATTTGGAACTCAGACTTATTCCCCGCACTCGTAATGCCTTTGCTGATACTTTAGCTACACTGTTTTCGATGATCCAACATCCCGATGAACTGGTGATTGAACCTATACAGATTCAACTTCAGAATAGGCCAGCGCATTGTCTGATTACGGAAAGGGTCACTGGTGGTCGCTCATGGTACAATGATATTAAGGAATTCATGAAAACGGGATACTACTCTCCTGATACTGATTCTGTTGCAAAAAGTTTCTTACACAGAATGTCAGCAATATTTTTCTTGAATGGAGAAGTACTATACAAGAAAACATCTGATTTGGGCCTTCTGAGATGCATCAATGAAGGGGAAGCATATTATATGATGAAAGAAATGCATAGCGGGGTTTGTGGGCCACATATGAATGGGCATCTACTGGCTAAGAAGATCATGAGAACAGGATATTTTTGGCTTACCATGGAGCATGACTGTGTAGATTTTGTTAGAAAGTGTGTTAAGTGTCAAATGCATGGTGATGTTATACGTGCTCCTCCTACAGAATTGCATAGTATGACTGCTCCATGGCCATGTTCGATCTGGGGAATGGATGTGATCGGAACTATTGATCTTCCTGCTTCAAATGGGCATCGATTCATCTTAGTGGCGATTGAATATTTCACCAAATGGTTGAGGCAGTGTCCTATAAGCATGTGATTAAGAAAGTGGTGTCGAATTTTTTGAGAAATAATATCATCTGTCGTTTTAGGGTACCAGAGACGTTAATCACCGATAATGCCAAAAACCTCAACAATGATATGGTGGATGGATTATGTGAACAGTTCAAGGTCAGACATCAAAATTCTGCCATTTACAGGCCTCAGATGAATGGAGCCGTCGAATCCGCAAATAAGAATTTGAAAAAGATTATTCGTAAGATGACTGAAGCACACCGGGATTGGCATGAGAAACTGCCTTATCCACTGATGGCGTACAGAACTACAATCAGAACTTCTACAGGGGCAACTCCTTACTCTCTTATGTATGGAATGGAAGCAGTACTGTCTACAGAAGTTGAAATTCCTTCCTTACGCATTCTAATGGAGGCTCAGATAGAAGAAACTGAATGGGCCCGAGAACGTCAGGAGCAGTTGTCTCTCATTGATGAAAAGAGGTTGAATGCTGTCTGCCATGGACAATGTTATCAGCAACGAATGGCTCGGACTTACAATAAAAAAGTCAAGCCCCGTTTGTTTGACGTTGGAGATAAGGTTTTGAAATGGATTCTTCCAATGCAAGATGAGGCTAAAGGGAAGTTTGCTCCCAATTGGCAAGGACCATTCATTGTTAAGAAAGTGCTATCTGGAGGAGCGCTTATTCTTATGAAAATGGACGGTCAAGTTTTTCCCCAACCAATCAATGCAGACATGTGCAAAAAGTTTTTCATTTGATTATAAAATTTTTTTTTTAAAATACTGCAAGAGACGGATTTCAGACATACTTCCTCTCATTTTTCCATTTCGATATTCTATCCCTAAATTTTCTTCTTTCCTTTTGACTTTTCATAACCATTTTCCTTTTCGTTTGGCTGTCCCTTAAGATCACTAACCCCATACTGGGGCAATTTGTTTCTAAAAAAAAAAATAGAAGAAGAAAAGAAAAAAAAGAAAATAGAGAAAAAAAAGAAAATAGAGATTCTGTCAGAATTAAACTGGGGCAAATTTTATCTCTTTCTCACCCTAGATCGGGGTAAGTTTTGAAAGAATGCTATCTCAAATGATTGCAAACCCATCATATGATCCGCTGTCAAGCCTTTCAAATCTTAACCTTTCCTTTGCCGAATTTCATCTTCTGCAGTATTTTGGAAAAAATTTTTCTTAATCAACTAGCAAATGATGTAAATACAAACTTGTTTGAAACATGTCAGAGAAGATTGTCTCACTGATGCTACTCATTATCAGAGCATGACTGTAGTGATACAGTAGGGGTTAAAATTATCTTGTCTATGTCTCTAAGTGAAAACCTGAAAGGGCACCTTCTAAAAAAAAAGTCAAAAAAAAAGAAAACGAAAAACGAAAAAAAAAAGAAAAAGAAAAGAAAAGAAAAAAGGGAAAAACAAAACAAGAAGAAAAAAAAATGATGAAAAGAGTGGGGATAACCTTAGTGAAAACCCGAAAGGGGGTTGAGGTAGGGTTTTGGAGTACAAGAGAATCAGTAACAGAGAAGAAGATGTTGAGGTCTGAAAGCTGGTGACTATGTTGATTTGGGTCTCTTTCATACTGTTGTTCTTTTGCCGACAATGAATTCCAAAATGGATGACTACGAAAGGGTTAGATGGAGCATTTTTCCTCATCAAAGGCCATCCTCTAAATACGAATCCAAATTTGGATCCTTGGGCCTATATTCAAAAATTCAACAATTTTGTTTTACTATTCTATTTGCTATTTCATTTATTTATTGTGTATCATTGTTTATTTCATATTAGCATTATTGCATGATGAATACTACTTTTTTTTAATTGTTTGTATTTTTCATTTTTTTTTTGTCTCATTCAAAAGACAATTCCCTTATAATTTATCTCTAAAGAGTCATGAAATTTAAGGTCCTATGATACTAAAGTACGGACGAACAATTGACATTTGACAGTTGCAAAGATTCTGAAGGGTTGTCGGCTGAACCTAAGGGAGCGATTGGTTGATATTGAAACTCATGTTTACATGGTTCTCAAAGCAAAGGGATCACGTGGTGGTGGCAATCTTTTTATCATAGTTGCTTATTTTCCTTTTTTCCTTTTTATAGGAAAGATTATGTGACACACTACTGGCTTAGTTGAGCATGATTCACACTGGGGCAAATGGCAAGTTTCGCTGTACATCCCCAAAGAAAGAAACAAAAATCATTATTCCCTTTCTTTTAAAGTTAAAAAAAAAATCATCAATCAAGAAAGTCGTAAGTCCACCAAGTAAGTTTGTCATGATTTATTACTACTTGAGCAACATGCATTTTAATCTTTCAGTTGGATGGTATTGAACTTGCATTTTCATTTCTTTCAGTGTTTAATTGGGCTTGGGTCAATCCCACCAATCTGTTTTTTTAAAAAAAAAAATCAATCAAGAAGATCAAATTTAAATTCCTGTTGGTGAGTCTCAGCGACCACCGCGCACCATTCTACCTCCCCTTCTTGACAATTTAAATTCTTGTTGGTGAGTCTCAGCGTCCACCACGCACCCTTCTATCTCCTCTTCTTGACAATTTAAATTTCTGTTGGTGAGTCTCAGTGTCCACCGTGTACCATTCTATCTCCCCTTCTTGACAATTTAATTTCCTGTTGGAGCGTAATCGCGTCCCTCAGCGCATCTTTTTTTAAAAAGATCAAATTTAATTTTCTGTTAGTGAGTCTCAGCGTCCACCGCGCACCCTTCTACCTCCCCTTCTTGACAATTTAAATTCTTGTTGGTGAGTTTCAGCGTCCACCGCGCACCCTTCTATCTCCCCTTCTTGACAGATCAGAAAATCAAATTTAAATTCCTGTTGGTGAGTCTCAGCGTCCACCGCGCACCCTTCTACCTCCCCTTCTTGACAATTTAAATTTCTGTTGGTGAGTCTCAGCGTCCACCGCGTACCCTTCTATCTCTCCTTCTTGACAATTTAATTTCCTGTTGGAGCGTAATCGCGTCCCTCCGCGCATCTTTTTCTAAAAAGATCAATTTAATTTTCTGTTGGTGAGTCTCAGCGTCCACCGCGCACCCTTCTACCTTCCCTTCTTGACAATTTAAATTTCTGTCGGTGAGTCTCAGCGTCCACCGCGTACCTTTCTATCTCCCCTTGTTGATAATTTAATTTCCTGTTGGAGCGTAATCCCGTCCCTCCGCGCATCTTTTTCTAAAAGATAAATTTAATTTTCTGTTAGCGAGTCTCAACGTTCACCGCGCACCCTTCTATCCCCATTCTTAGAGCGTAACCGCGTCCCTTCACGCATCTTTTTCTAGTTATGACAAGTTATTTTTCTTGACTGTTTTGATTAATAATTGTGCTTTCTCATTCATTTTGTGAAGTTTTAAGAGCTCAGACTTTTTCGACTTTGCAAAGATCACAGTTAGTCAATGCACTTGTTTCATTGTGGTTCACTTGCATTCGAACTACGTTTGACCTAATTCCCATAGTGGGATACGTAGGCAACTTTACATGGGTTCGATCACATTTTTTGCAATATTATTGCATCATTTTGTCCAATAATTTCAACCAAGTGTTGGCTTGTCTATTTTGGCTCAGGTACAGCTAGGAGAGACAGGTAAACAATTTGGTGTCTACGTTTTTGTCTTTAATTTCTTTGAAACTCTAGACAAAGAGGGGTAAGCTGTAGACACCAAATTTTTGTCAATTTTTAATGTTTTCCTGAATTTTTATCTATTTAACAAGTTATCTATTATTATTATTATTATTATTATTATTATTAATGTGTAATTTTCTCATTTTTGCAGGTTTATTTTAGAAAAAAAAAAGAGAAAAAAACAACAACAAAACGAAAACAAACAAAAAAAAAGAGAAAAGTTAAAAAACAAAAAAAAATCAAAAATCAAATCAAAATCAAATTATTACAAAACTTACACATTTTCATCATTTTCCCTACCAAAAAACATTTAACCCATTCCTACACTCAACTTCCTTGATCTTTCTTGTCATCTGGTAAAAATAATCATTTTTGACCAAACAAACACACAAAGCTCTACGTTGGCTACAAATTCACTCTTCACTCGGCTCTCTCTCACAGAGAAGACAAGCCACAAAAAGAAAAAAAAAACACTCCAATCCCTCTAGGCTCACTTGGCAGAGGCAGAAAAAAAAACAAGAGGAGGAAACGCACGAGAGAAGAGGAAGGGAAGCTCTCGGAATTTTGCAGCCTGACCCCTCATTCTCCCTCTCTCAGACTTGGGCGGAGGAAAGAAACAGAGAAGAAAAAAAAAATCTTCCCCAACTCCTCTCGGTTCCATCTCAACCTCACACACATCTACATTGAGGTAATTTTTAGTTTTTGTCTAGCACATTAAATCAATGCTTCATTGTTTAGTTTTCTTTCGTTTCTGCTGGCTGCCTTGTATTGTTGTTGTTGCATTGCTGAAAATTGGGAAATGGCATGAACTAGATGAAGGAAAAGGAAATGTTTCTCATGCATGCATATTAACCGTTTGAAAAAATGCCAAAATGACAAACGAATTAAAAAGGTTAACATTGTACATGTTTTCTTGTCAAATAGGTGACCGTTTGCTAGTGTAGGTCTGAAAAGGTGTGGTTATTCAAAAATTTTTGGAGTTTTGAGTGTTAAAAGTTTTGAAGGATTTTTATTATTTTTTGGACTGTTTTGGTTTAATTTTTGTCATATCTGTTGTTACTTTCATTGATGTTAGTTGATAGTTAGGTTGTAAAAATCACAAGGAGTGTTGTAGTATAAATTTTATATTTTTTGGTGAAGATTTGGGTGTTTTAAAGAAATAAAAACTGGAATGTATTTTGATATTTTGGCCACTTTCGAATCGCCTTTTGTAAAAACTAAATCCGGAAATGGAATCTACGCGAAAATTAGAATGGGGAGGTGTATTTTGAGAAATTTTAACGACCGGAGAGGTCGCCGGCGACCGGCGGTCCGGCGGTGGTGCCGCCGTCGGCCGCCATGGCCGCCAGCTGAAGCCAAAGAAGAAGGGAAGGACTTCTTCAGCTGGCCGAAGAAGAAGGGAAGGAAACGGCCGGAAATGGAGGAAGAAGAAAGAAAGAAAAGAAAAGAAAGGACAGAAAAAAAAAAAAAAGAAAAGTGGGTTGGGTTAATTTTTTTAGTGGGCTTGTTTCTTAATTTCGGTTGGGTTAGAAGGTCAAACCTATGCTTCTTTTTTTTGGTTGGGCTTGAGGGATAAAAAGACGGGCTGGCCTGCTCGTTTCTTTTGGGCTTAGGTAGTATCCGGCCCAAATAAATAAAAATGACGGCCCGATGGCCTTTTTTCTCCCAAATCAGAAACCGAAATTTGCATTTTAGCCCCTGATCTTTGGAGTAGTTTCACTGCAGCCCAGACCATTTTAAATTTCTTGCATGTAGGTCCTTAAATTAATTTCACTTTGGTCCTTAAAATTTATCTTTCGTTTAATTTTGATCCCTGAACTTTGAAAAAATATAATTTTTATCCCCAAAAGTTTTTCAATCTTTGCAATTCAGTCCTTGGCAAATTTTGGCTCTCTTTATTATGATTGTTCCTTTTCTTTAATAACTAATTATGTTACTTTTGAACATATTCAACTTGTAATTTTTAGATGTTTTAAAATTCTTTATATTTGACATATTAGTGTGTATTTAGTACTTTTATTATTATTATTTTTTTAAATTGGTGTCATGATTCTTTTGTTCATTGTGAGTTTAAATAGGACAATTTGACTCCATTTAGTCACCACTTCAAACGGGAGATAC